AATGGGTTATGAGCTGGGACGGGATGCTTTGAAAAGGGCGACAGCGGATGTGAAGGAAAGTGAAATAAAACCAGGCTGAGTTATTTTGCTTCACGGCGGGTCGGGGCATGGCCTTTTACTCTTTTTTTCTGTGCTCACAACTACGAAGCAGCATCCATCCCGGAGGGTCGCTCACGAGCGGAGAATGACCAGACCATGCAGATCCTGTCAATTGCCCCTCTCCAGGCGAGTGGATAATGGCCTCGAATGCACAAGGCAAGGGATAGCAGGGGACAGAGGCAAACAAAGAACCTAGGGCGAAAGGAAAGAGCCTCACCACCACCACGGCCCGGCCCAAGATGCTCACAGACGGCATGTAGCGGAGGTACTGCGATGCGATGTGGTGTGGCAATTATTAGTGCCAAGGTGGGCAGCATCATGTGCCGGGAGCTAATGAAGGTACCCTCCCCCCCACGGCACTCGGGCCAACGCAATTGGCAGCCCGAGACCACCTCCAGACCTCTCAGGTGGACAGCGGCATTCATTCTCGCAGACCGCATCACGATCATGCACCTCTGGCAGCAGCGAATATGCACGACTGGATACGGCCTGGCCGGGGTCGGCATCTGGAGAAGACCCTTCAGCTCCGGCACAGGTGGGGCATGTGACCTGCAGCCGCCGTGCACAAGCTGCATTGCCCATGACCATGACGCTAGATGGGCTCGATAGCAGGACGGCTTGTGTCCCTACAAACTGGGATGTACAATATACATGGATCGGTAATATGCTCTTTGTATTTATACATGATTGTACTCTACTATATCATCTAGATACGTACTCCTCATTATCTACTTTCCGTGACCTTTCCGTTACCTGCCGTGAGTCTCCACGCCCTGAGCGGAAGGCTTTGGAGGTGTGTAACCTTCGGCTTAATGTACCACACGAATGTGGCCAAGCCAAACGCAACGCAGAGCAGGTTGACTGAGTTATAGCCGTCCCTCTGCATTTCGCAAATGCCTCCTCCATTCTCGCACCTCTCCTTCTCGGCTTGAACAGCGCATGAGAATGCAGCTGTTACCAGTGGCCCTTTGAGAGCAGAGGTATCAGTCCCGGCGCTTGGTGGGGTGCAAGTAGCGACGGTGAAAGCGTCAACGAGCTTCAAGACGAAGTACCTTGGGAATGTGCCTCCCAGGTTGCAAACACTATCACAGTCAATGTTAGTAACCGAAACAGAACGGGTGATCAATAGGTGGGCAGGCTCACGTAGCCAAGAGTGTCATGTATGTGCCTCCGATGACCGGGTCAGAAACTCGAGCGTGGAAAGCCGATACGGCCACAAACATGATGGTGTTGGTAAATGTTGAGTAGACATGAGAGAAGATGACCAACAACATATACCACGAAGTGACGCCTCCCAAAGGATAGATAAATACGGTAAACTGGGCCAAGATGGCAGCTCCCAGGCGTCCCACGAATCCCCAACACCAGAGTCGCATTGGGGTGTACTTTTGCGACCACAAACCAGCATAGTACCCAACTCCAATCTCAAATGGAAAGTCGATAAGAACCGTCAGCGCCATGTTTTCCTTCCCAAAACCTTTATCCAAAAGTTTAAGATTCGTCACACCATCATTGGCTTGGAAACCGATTTTGGCAATGAGATGCACGATGATAATCGCCTGAACATTTCTGAGCTTGAGGATACCCCACATGATCCGGTAGACCTCCCAGACTCCGTCCTCGTTTTGCGATTTTTCTTCCCGCTTGATCAGGCCGAGCCCAATCGTCATGATAATATACGCCCAGCCCCAGAACTTGAGGTAACCGCCCAGTGAAACAAGTCCGTCGTCTGAGGGTACAGAACGGAACCACTTATTGGCGAAATCGGGTGCGTTGAGGGCCAAGAACACAGTATACGACAGGAAGTGCCCAGCGGTAAGGCCCACTGTCTGCGCTGTCGAAGCGTAGGAGACATTGGCGGGACTTAGAAGCGTGAGCGCCCATCCATCCACAGCGATATCTTGCGTGGCGCACATGAGTACTAAGAAAAACCACCACAGCATGAAATGCCAGACAGTGATTCCATCCGCCTTGCCCATCGTCTCCAGCATTCTCTCCACGTGTGAGCCCAACCAGAGCATTCCGAAGCCGGAGAGAAATTGGATCGGCACAATCCAGGTCTTGCGCCGACCAAACGTAGGGCTCCATACCGCATCTACGAACGGACTCCAGAGCAGCTTGAGGGAGTATGGATACGAGGCCAAACTGAATATACCAATTTCTCCATATGACAGATGATTCTTGAGAAGGAAGGGCACCGAGCCCATGGCAAGACCCATCGGAATTCCTTGCAAAAAGTACAACAATACCAACAGCAAGAAGTTGCGCTGATCCTGTCTGGGGAGGTCGAAAAACCCATGGTTGGCAATGCCTGCGCTCGACTTGGGGGGTTCATCATCGAGGGAGAAATTCTCTCGAGTTACAAAGTTGGCCGCAGTGGTGTCCAAATCGGACGGTGCGCCTTTGCGCCGGAGTTCCACGCCGTTGCTCATTTTCCCATTCGCATGCTCAGTTTCGGGAGGCGAAGATGATGCGCGCTTGAATTTGGAGGATTTCACGCGTCTTACTCTGGTCCCCATGAGGTAGGTATTGTATCGGTCGTTAGGTGTGAATCGCAGCTGTCGGAGATATGGGAGACAGGGGTGACTCCACGTTCAAGAGTAGTTTGGGAGGGCTTCCGTCGGGGAGCGAGACGAATATTGAATGTAGAATACCAGTGCGATCGTCACTGGGTACCTCAGTGTCGTCCGGAATGCGGGAGAGTTCGCGACAAGTGTTTCGGCAGATATATGCGCTCGAGATCAAGTAATGATGTGTATGTCATAAAAGGTCGCAAGATAATAGAAATAAATATCCGTGATAGTAAGAATAAACAGTCCAGAAAGAAGAAGACGGACGAGAGTATCAAGCGAGTGGCTGTCGGACAGTTGATAGGATAGTGGTGGCAAACGGTAGGGAAAAGTTTCGGTTTGTAAGGCGAAGCTACCGTGGCCTCAATGAAAGGAACAGGTGGGTTCTCCCCAATGGCCAACAACACCCGGCTGGAAAGGAAAGGACGCTAGGGGAAGCCAGATCTGAGGAGCCTTATGCACAAGAGCCGAATCGGGATTCTGGACAAAGGCGGGTTCAGATTTGCCTGGCCTCTACCGCAGCAGCATTAACCTGGCACAGAACGATAGGCTATGAAAGGGATCAGGGATACGGAAGCGCAGAGCACAGATGGGAATTTTGCCTGCAAGAAATGAGCCCCACCTCCCACAATACGTTGGACAGAGCCAGCCAGACTTAGCGGGTGGAACCTGCCAGGCACCGGGCTGCATGACTCATGAGACTAGGGTAGCCAGCGACTATCGTTGGCGTAGAATGATGTACACTGGGGTTTTGATCCTATAACTTTGGCCTCATCAACATCGGGCATATGAGAATAAGAGTATCCAGCAAAATACTGATATTTAGCATCCAGTTTCTGGTCGAAATGGCCACCAACTGCCTCAGTTGTACTTGTAGAGGAACCTTCCAGATCGGGTTGTGAACCACATGCCGAATCCAGTCAAGATGCAATGGAACTCTGATGACTAATGCTCAAGATTGATGGGGCACGCGTTTTTGGTTAACCTCGACGCGTCTGATTCTGGGGTAGGTACAAAGTGATGGCATAGCACCGTAAAGTACTGAAGATGGCTTCGGAAACCAACGAAGCAGAGGTCGATGTTCTTGGAGATGAAATCGCTGATTTGGAAGAGCAGAGTATGGCTTGTTAAAATTCTTCCCCTTGACTACCCGGAATATCAGCTAACCAAACACAAGTTGCTGCGACCAAGAAGCAACTCAAAATCCAGGCTTCAACCATCATAGCCTCCATTCCAAGCCAGAGTCTGGTCAAAGAATCGTCGCGATCTCGTTCGAAAACCAACAAAAAACTCCTGAAGGGGCTCCAGGGACAAGAAGCACACCAGCAACAATGCCTCTATCGCATTTGCAACCCTGTCACAGCCTTCAAAGTCCACGATCCAGATCCCAACGCCGTCGATAGGGGTCATGTTCTGGGACTACGGTTCGAGGTCATGTCTCGTAGCCAGTTTCTCAAGCCATACTACGTTATGCTAAACCGTCCCTATTCGAAATCCTCGGCCCTCCGTATCCACCGTCACACGCTGCCCAGCGCGATACCGCTTGCTGGGCTGGCTGCCCGTCATCTGCCTCCTCCAAAACCTGAGGACGAAAACCCCCCTTCGCAAGACTTGGATCAATTTGTGAGGACACTTAGGCGCGAAATAATGCGATACCATAACCGGCTCGGTATATCCGCCGATCTGAGGAGAGCACTGGGATTGCATCAAATCACCGAGGGAGACACTGGGCCCACCAGCATTGTCGAAGTTGGAATTGCCGATATCGAAGCGAAGCAGATCAAACTTACATGGGCGGACGAGCGTAATGGTCGTCTCGTTATGGATGATGATGGAAAAGTCACCAAATTTTCTATCTTTGGTGTGGATGGGCGCGACTGGGAGACAACGAAAAGCCTTTTCGACAGGCCACAGCGCATTGAAGAAGTGGTGGAAAAGCTAAGGCAATCATCTACAAGCTAAGGAAAGAGACTACAGTGCGTCAAGGATAAATTCGTGCGCCAAGAGCTTTTGAAGCTCCCTCTATGAGAGGGCAACAATTCCATGGTTGAACCACGCCCCACCCTGCAATACATTTCTCCAAAGATACGCACTCTATCAAAGGTAAGTTGAAAAAGTTTTTCAGCAGATTCATTTTCAATATTCAACTAACGTAGACAAACTAAGGTCACTAAATTGATGCCCATGGACCGATTGCAGGAATGATTTACATGAAATTCTTATGGACTATGCAATTGAGAAATTGGCTACAAGAAGAAAACACATGCATCTCATGTCATTTCATAACACGTTCGACCTGTCAAAGGGGGTTTGGTATCGTTGCCCTAGGGCTTACAGGACCAGCATGGCAGCAAATCCAACAAGAGCAAAGATTCCGATGTTGTACGTGCCCGAGATTCCGCCAGAAGTTTCTTGCGGAGCCTTGCTGATAGTCGGGATTGCGGGCGCTGCTGTGGTGGCATTATAGCCATGCGGAGCACGTTGGAACGTGGTGGTCGGAGTATGAGGATGGTGTATAACGGAGCTGTTGACGGCTGTAGGGATCGGTGATGCCACATAGGTCGCAACCGTTGGCGAAGCACCGTGCGATCCCATCCACCCAAGGTGGACGGAGGAAAGTGTGATTCGAGCAGGACTTTGGGGACCTTGTGTGGCGGAGGCAGTATGGCCGGCCTCCGGAGTCTGGACCCCCGTCGTATGAGGGCCCGAGCAATCGACAATGGTCTTGACGTGGGAGATTGTGACTGTGGTGGTGCGTGCTGGACGGATCCAATGCCATTCTCCATTTCCGAAATCACCAGAACCATCAGTCTTGACGTTGTGCGGGGGGTGCCATTTGTCAACAGACTCTGCGCAAGGCTCGTGGTGAGGTCCCGCTGCGCTCACATCACCTGCAACTCCCCGGGGTATATTTGCGCCTTGGTTGATAAGGGCGCTGGTGGAAGTGGCAAGAAGGCCAAGAACAAGCGTTGAGAACTTCATGTCGAGATGGCTACTAGGCAGCAAATTTCAATAAAGGAATGACAAAAAGTTGGCTGCTGAAACGAGTGAGGTAGAACGAGAGAAAGCTACTGCGCTGGCTTGTCATATCAACTATAATCCATGGGCCATGGCTGCCTCTTAAATAATTCTTTTGAACTATCCGATGTCCCGTCACTGCTACCATTTCATCTTCCCCTTCCTCGTGTCAACACTCCCATCCTCGCATTGTTTGTGGCGGAGTAAAATGAGAACAAGACACTGCAAGGCCGGCAAAGGAGGGGTTCGTTTCGGCCTGCGACCCTGTTTCCAAAGGTATAAACTGATGCTATCGCTGGCTGGGACTCAAACGACTGACACAAAACATGGCACATCTAGACAGTTCAGGGTTGAATTTTAGAATAATATCAGAATAATTAATCTAGTAATTTCAAGCCAAATAGCGTAGAATAATTGATTAATCTCTCTTATTGTGTTTAGTTAAAAACGAGGACCCTGCCTTAGGCGAAAAGAGCTTTGGTGTGCCATGTTTTATTTCACCCACTTGGGACTGTTGCAGTTGTTTGAATTGTACTCCGACCCACAGAGAGTTAATAATACGTATCCGAATGTCTTCTCAATCAGTTGACGCAAGGAGAGTCCGGAGGGAGACCACTCGTGCTTGTCTCAGACCCCATGGCCGACTCCGCTCTCTTTCAAATGGCTGTTGTAAGCCTTTTCTTTTTTTCTTCCCTCTCTTTTTTTTTCTTTTTCCTCCATCGTCCTAACAAAAAGCAATGACAAATGTTTCAAACGTGTCCATTTTTTTCTATGAAGGTCTGTCGCAGCTCTTATCCGATGACGACGCACTTTAGTAGCCATCGTTGACCCTTGCGTCAGCCGGTGAGTTCACAAATTACGGAATTGTCTCGAAATCCGGCCAAGGTATCTTCCTTCCCAGATGTGCAAGAGGTAAAGGCGAGTAGCTTCTTGTTATGCTTGCTGCCATTGCAGTTATGACTGCTCGGAAGCGAGCGGCATCTGTAGTGCGCCAAGTGGTTTTCCTCGAGCCCTCCAAGAATGCGGCGATGGCTGAGGGTAGGCTACTGAGAGATCCAACCTCAAAACCTAAGCAACAGGGAGCGACAAGCCGCGTTGCCGCTGCCTTCTCCCAGCCCTTCTTTGAGGCGGAGCAGCTTTCTCTTGCAAGCTCGCTCCCGAAGCGGCACATGGGACTGCCCTTCCCAGGCCTCGTGGCAGTTCCCTGGGGAAGGCCGTGGCCTGATCGAGGCAGGTTGTAATTTCCAGCCACTGTGGTTCAGTTGCTTCACCAATCCAAAAGATCCCTGGCTGGTTCATCTCCGTGGGCGGGAAGCTCCTCGTGGGTTTGTTGCGCTGGCTCTGGGTTGAGATGATCCAGAAGAGACTTGTCGACTCCCCAGACACGGACTTGGTCGTCCACGATACCGATCCATTTGCGAATGACCGGGTGAGCCTGCGCCACCTGGTGGGCAGTAAAGTCCGTGGCAGAGATCGTGTAGTTGCGCTCCCCGTTAGGCTTCCAATGATCGGAGCTAAAAATCTTCTCAACACTCAACTCAGTCCTGCCTTCATTTAACAGTGTCTCTATCTCTGCCGTGGGACTGCCCGCATTTGCCTTTGCCGCTTCGGCAATTCCCTCGAGGAGGCCAAGCAGCTGTCCAGCCTGCAGTCCCAGGGCGGCGCCCACGGAATAGCCCTCGTCGAAACCTTGCTGCAGGGTGGCTTCTTTGCCGAGCGCTATCCCTTCACGGTACCCTGCCGTGGTGTGCTCCGTCTCCAGCCTCCTCATATCCGAAGGATGGTAATCTTCAGCAGGCTGGAGATCATCACCGCCAAAGATGTCATCTAGGGTGTCGTTCACATTTGATGCTGTGACGAAGGCGCCACCTCCGCCACCTCCGCCAGAGACGTAGGCATCATCGCCCAGGTTCTCAATGGGTTGAAAATGCATATTGACAATGAATTTTCTTCCTTGGGAGATCTTTACTTTGTCAGAGCAAGTGAATAAAAATTTGAGGCTCTGGGGAACCTTCAAGGTGGGGAAATCGCAAGTTTAGGGTAGCTTCTTCTTACCTAAGCGGGTGGAAAATTCTACGTCACTGATGAGGTTTGAATTGATCATTAGCTGACTACCTACCTATGTCCATGCAAGGCTTTGATAACATAGTAAATAGTCTCAAGGTTGCATGAAATAAATATGCTATCTAACTGTCAGTTACGTGCTGCGTTTACAGCTCATTGATTGTATCAATGATGGGTAGATGGGTGTGAATATGTCAACTGAGTGGATGAATATACTCAATCTAATCTAGGTATTCTATTATTGATCTTTCTTCGCAATTGGCAAGTGGAATTTTGGGGAAACCCATTTCGGGGATCATAGTCTACCACCTCACCACATACCTCAACGACTCCTTGCAACGGAAGCCAGCTGCCCTTGACACAAGTACCCATGTTGCCGGCACTCATCCTGAGCGATTCAAATTTTTCTGTAACAGAGTACCAACACAGCATGAGCGGTGAGTATCGTCCGTGTTTGATGCTAGAAGGACGTGCGCCTTGCTCTAAATTCTTAGCTTCAGGGATTGGCGAGGGAGATTAGCGAATAGCAGAAGGTTCCCACAAGGGAAGTGCTCAAGCCATGCGAATGCGCCCATGTAAATTTATTTGCATATCACGGGGACAGCTGGGAAGGTCAGTTAGACCCGAGCTCGGTCAGCCTGGGGGGCTACATTCTGGCCTTGCAAGCGTCCAGATGGGGCGCTCAACGAGATAGGAGGATACAATGGCAAAGTAGCGTCCAATTTACCGTGGACCAAGCAGCAGGGCATGGGGAGATACCGTTTCAATGGACGGCTTCAACTCAAAAACCCACTGTTCCAAGCTGAGATGGGAACGGGCCGCCCTCCCCGGTCCACGGAACCGAACTGACGGACCAAAGGCCTAGTTACGGCCCCACAGCGTGGTCAGTCCAGACCAAGGACGAGGAGCGAAGTAAGGTGAGGTCGTACATAGATGGTGCTACATGCCCGTCGCAGTGGGAGACGGCTGTCACGCAGGCACAAGGCCGGACTCGCAGCGAATACGGGCATGCAAGAAGCCGGCACGAATACGCGTGGGCGGCGGTTCATGCTGCGCGGTGTTTCGGAAGGAAGCAGCAGTGGCCGTGATGCGATAGGGTCGGTTGGCGATCAATTTCAAAAGTCGCCATTGACGTATGGATGTGCAACGGAGCAATTAGTCAGTGGCCAGACCGCGAGAGTGGATGGGCAAGGGGAGTACGTACAGGCGTCATCATCACTTCCGCGCTCGCGAAGGAATCTCATTGTTGGTTCTGAGAAAGGAGAGGAAGCCTTGTCCAGCTTCTAGTGTCGCCAGGGGGCACTTGCTGGTAATTCGGTGTGTGTCTGCCTTCCCCGGCACCAATCATGTCATTAGAATGAAATTGGTGCTCTATCCGGAGCCTTCCCCGACAGAATAGTGCTTCCAACTCCTTCTCGGCCAGCCCATGGATCCCCCGGCCAGAAATCATCGCGTTGGTACGCCTCGCCTTAGGCGGGAGACTAATGGTTTTTTCCTTTCCTTTCTTTTTCTTCTGGCCCGTCTGCCCCAGCCAATGCGGGCTCCACGGACATGGAACTGGGTCGATTGGGCCCTATGGTCGCGTTTCCAGGCTACCCCTACGATCTACCTATAGCATCTTGGGAAATGGCCCGGTGGAAGGGGACGCTGTTTCGGGACAGGCAGCGAGGTGAAGGAAGGTAAATTACGGTGAATCCAGGGGTATCTTTCTGTCACCTCCCTGCCTGGTACCTGCGCTGCGCTGCACACGTGTTGACACAATGCTAGCGTTCTGACGGCTCTCCCACGAGACCTGGCGGCAATGTACATGCATGGTCTCGTCATGGGCCTTGCTTGTCTATTCCTGCGGCGGCGGACAAGCCGGAGACAAGCGAAGAGTCGCCGACGGCACACGATGCACCCGTCTCTGGGGGTGGATATCCAGACCCAAGGTACTTCTCTCGCCAGGTACATTCGGAGGTGTGTACCTGGCGCAAGAGTAGGTGTGCTATTTTTGTCGGCCCAAGACAGCTCATCATTTTGGTGATGTCCGTATCGGCTGGTTTCCTCACCGACACCTCTAGCCAAACGGCCTGTTGTCTTGCTGACGACGAGTCATCTAGTTGATGATGCTCCACCTAAGCCTGTGGCAGGCCTCACCGTCAGAAACTATGCCTGCCTGCTGCCGAAACATTGAGCCCAACCGTGACCATTTCGTCCATTCTTTTTTTCATGTTTCTTCTAGAATCTCGCCGTCTTCGTGCTACCCTTGCTCGTCTACCGTGGTCTAGTGTGACGCCCCGATCGCTTAGTCCCTCCAGTGGTAACACGCTCGCTTTCTTGGCCAACCAGCCATTCAGTCATTCCATCCTGAAGTCTTGTGCCGGGAAATTTGGTACTCAGTGTATTATCCCCAATTTGATCCAAACGTGTCAGATCCGTCTCTGTAGTACATATGGAACACTAAGAAGCACAGCATCAAGCCCTACCGCAAGGTTATCTGTTTTTTCTTTTTCCCCTTGCCCTTTTTCCTTTTTTCCATCTCACCCAACAATGTCAGCTGAAACCCACACCGCAGACAACAGTCCTTTCTAACCGAGAGTCACTCATGAATGTGAAAAACAAGCCCGGACGTTGGCATGGGACTTGTCTGTCCAAATAGCTAATTACTGGCAATATCCCAACCAGTTACACCCCTGTCGATCTTAAAGGTGAGGTATGGCCACAGGGATTCCTTAGTTAGTCAAAGCCCAGGGGTATGAGCGCGCTGACCGCAAAGACCGGATCAGCCACTTGACACGCGCACAAAGCCAGGGCAGCAAGAAGAAGAAGCAAAAAAAAAATTGGTACCGCTTTCTTCTTTTTCTTCTTCTCCCTGGAAGATTTAAAGTCACCGGAGCTCGCACTCAGATTTAAAGTTCCCATCTATCACACATCTATCAGACCTGTAGGATCCTTCCATCCTTACCTCTTCGATCATCCACATCAAATACCCTCTCGACACCCACATCTGCCTGACTACAGATAAGGTACTCTTCACTCTACGAAGTACACGCACACACACCAACATCGAGCAGCACTTATACATCTTTTTACCTACAATATACCTCTCTTCACCTCACTTCCACAACATGCCTCGAGGACCTTATGACACCACCGGCATCATCAAGCCCAACTCGCCCAAGCCCCCACCTAAATAGAGGCCCTACCCTCTTGCTCCCCTCTTCCATATTGAGAGCAATGCATTTCAGATGAAGATGGCGGCAACATTCAACCTGGTAGGAAGCTCCGTATCATATAACCAAGCCCTAATAGTTGCTAACGAACTTTGACAAACAGTTCGCCGCCGCTTGATTATATGAGCAAACCACAACAACCCACCATCTTTTGTCTCTCATTTCCTTCGGTATTCGACATTCGACGCAATGATCGAACCACGGGCGGTTTTTCTTGGGTGTTTTGGGAGTTACGGCATATATTTTTGCCCCGGTATGGAAAGGAAACCAAATTAGACTGGGAAGGGACTCAGGAGTATATCCATTATGACACGCCACGAGAGAACACTAGAGAAGCTTCATTCACATGAACACACACACCTTACATACTTAATACACAAAACGTCATTGCTTTCTAGATATTTCGAGAAATTTGCGAATACGTGTGACTTGGTGGGATGAGACGAGGTTCATTTGACTTAAACAAATCGCAGGATAAAAGTGTGGGCTGGACGCTTTGGGCAGGGACCTTGGGCCCAGATTGGGAGTGTTTCACATTTCAGAGGGAGATCTTTTGATGGTCGCTCCAGTAGGTCCGGATCTGGCTTCCCTCTGACGCACACGACCTGTTCATTTTTGTCGATCTGGTGTGGCAGCGATCAGGCCATTGAATCACTGGCCCCCACCTACAAGCCAGGTTCGAGTGTTGGGTGCCACCATGAGAAGTTGCTCATGTGATGCGCACTCAGCAAGCCCTGACGTTTCTCATCCCAGCTACGCGGACCAGTCCCGGCGGCGTATGCTTCATTTCGGTTGGTGATGATTGAAGGACCGGACGGGTGCGACGTCAGACGGGAGACCAAGGGTCGGTCGAGAAGCAGTCCTAGGGGTTGTGCTGACGGGCCTAGCTTGAGCCTCATCGGCTGGCAGGTGGCGATATGTATCTACCTATGTAAGTACGATGCTTAATTTTTTGGCCATGCCCTACCTGCTACCCGGTCCCCAAGTTCTCCGAGGTGGGGGCGGGGCATCTTGATAAGAGTGCATGATGGAGGACCGCATGTGTATGTAGTAGTTGGTGGGAATAGGGGACTGAATGGGGGAGAGCTGGAGGAAATTCCGCCCCTCCATTCCATGCACGTTTTTGCGCCCTGTTTTAGGCCCAAAGCAGTTGAGGCTCGCCTGGTCCCGCGGGCCTCCAATCGAACTACATCCATCAGCACAGAGAGCAGGGTCCCCAGTTTCTACCTATGGGAAGAGCCATATCACTTATACCATGGACCTATATTCTGTCTCCGAAGGCAGCTGTATCAAAGAGGTTTCACTAACTTCCTACTGTCCTGGGTCTCCATAAACACGAAGAGCAATCTCAGCGCCTTGGTTCGGCTTGCTTTGCTAAGCGGGTTTCTCAACTGTGGTCTTACCCCCCCCCTTTTACCTTAGAAACTCTTCATCGTTGACGAAAGATTTTTTTTTTCTCCTCTTCCAGCCACCGCCATGTCATTGTCTCTAGGCATCTGGATATTCGACAATCCTCGCGCATGCATGTTTCGCATCCATCGGCCTGTCTGAGACGATGATGGACCTCGGCCCCAAACGACTCATCTCAATCTCAGGACATCTGAGATGAATGATGCAAACAGTCTTGGCTCACCCCCACAGCGAGCGAGGTCCAGCCTTCCATGATCCCAGCAGGCGAGGTTTCCCAGCCTTTTCCACAAAAGGGGCGGGAGCACCACCGACTGCCCAACTGAGTAATTGGCCAGGGATGCAGGCAAGGGACTATCCACCTGGCTGGCATGAACCGGTTCGCCACTTTATTTCACCTTTCGCCATGAACGGGCGCCACGATGCAGATCCTCGTTGCACCACCTCCCATGTGGCGCTCTCGCCATTCGCTTCAGAACCCCTCCCAGGATCCAGCCTCTGTGTCCCACACCTCGGCCGGCCAAATCCGAACGACTTCTCTCCTCGTACCAATCACGGAGGCTGGTGTTTCCGCCAATGGATCTGGGGTTTCTGGCCTCTCACGCACAGGTGCTACCTGGCCACGTAGGTAACTGGAGCCACGAGGAGTTGGGCTGCACAATCTTGGCCAGCCATAGCCAACCAGTGCGCTGCACGACAGTAATGCAAACATGAGGTGATAGGGTTCGGCATTGGGCATTAGGCGTTAGGGCAATGCGTTTGTTTATTATCAATCAAGGGGCCACAGCCAACTTCAAAATACTGCGTCCCATGTATGAGTGGAGGTGGCATATTCTGCCCTAGAAAGCTTTGATTTGATGCGGTGTGCGCCAGAGAGTTCCCTCCAGCCCCTTGCATTGATATTGCCGTTTCTCTTGATTTATTACAGAAAGCCAACATTCTGAGTAAAGAGTATTCGCTAGCCCCCATGTTGACCTTGTCGTACTCGTACCGGGCATTCTCGGTCGTTCGCAGCTTCAAGGCATGAGCACTGCAGGAGCCACATCATCGCCATGCAGCACCAAATGTCTCTCACATCATGAGAACTTGTCACCGCCAGAACAGGCGTGGATTGGCTGCCGTCTCCGTAGAGATATGCCCAAATACCCATTTGGCGCCTCGGCACCATGCAGAACCCATGCTCCCGCAGCACGCACCATTGGCCCAACCTTCCCTCAACATGCCATGCCACCCCAATATTGGCAAGTCGGGACCCTTCGTGCAAGCATATCAGTGCACTAACAGGATTTCCAACCACGCAGTTGGCCATGTGTTGGGCGCCCAACAGACGTGTCAACGACTCACCTTCCGTGGTGGCCACGAACTTCACCGCCATTGGCTTGGGTTCTCCACCTGCAGCCGGCCCAGAATGCAGCCGCCCATGGCACATCAGACGGTGTGTAAGCCGGGGGGCCTCGCTCGAGAAGAGTACAAATTGGGGCCGTGTCTCGTCACCGAGGACTGCCCGCTCCTCTTGATGTTTGACCGCAGGCGAAGGGCGGCTGCCATAGATTGGCAGCCTCCAAACAAAAAACATATCTGGTGCTACGGTACCGCCAAGGCGGAGTAGTGGGATATGATGGCTTCACCGGAGTGGGTGCAGGCCATCTGCCTCTTTCTGGGCGTCTGGTTCGTCGGCATCGCGGTTGCGGCGACCCGGGGCTCTGGGGCAGGTCCCACCTCAAGCATCTTGAGGTCAAAGGCAGCAAGAATATTGCAAGAATCGAAGCGGGAGAGAGTCCTTGACCTAGGAGGGCACAATCTGCAGCAGCATGCGCGTGTAGCAGGGTTCAGCTTTTGCTCTGGCCTGATTGCAGACTGTGTCCTACCTGGGAAGTCAGGATACAAATCGAAGAAACAGGTGAGCTTGCTATGGACACCACTTATCTCGGTGTGGGATGACTGACTTGTATAGATTGATGATGCTTCTTGTAAGCTTGTGAGAGATGGTCAATATCTTCACGGCGGCAAACATCAAGGTTAGTTTACCATCATGGAAAACTCAATGAAAGCAAATTCCTAATTCAATTCGCAGGAAACGGCGACTTTTTGACCACGCAAACCTCCAGAATAACGATGACGGGATTACAAAAGTTGGATTCCCTCATCAAGCATGTCTGTGTATCTTCGTTCCTCCCTCGCATACCAAACCCCAAATCTCCTTGCTGCACATATGGTAAGACTTTGATGATACATCCCTTGAATGTTGCTTCTTAAGAGTATTCGCTCACCTTCTCAGGCTACACTAGAACCTCAAACATGAGGATGACTGCTCCATGTGGAATGTTGAAGGGTAAAATGTTGAGGGTAATAGGGAAGGAGGAACGACTCAATCATAGCCCATGGCCGTACTGACACGAGGCATTTCTCCACTATGGAGAATGGGTTGCTTAGTTCTTTACAGGTTCGTACTCATGTTCTGCTGCGCTGTGCCACCTATACTAACAGTCCATCGAACAGAAACTGAGCTCCTCGCTGCCGGTCAGCCATGACAACGAATTGAGAACACGAGATACGAATATATCCCATGAGGATATAATGAGCTACGTATTCGGAAAAGACCAATCTTCTTTTCCCTACGACTCATGGATGGTTAAGCGATCCGATATAAGTTTTCGGATGGAATGTTGTTACCTTGATGTGTCTGCTTTTTTGGAACGTTTACGTTTTCATGAATAATGGCCATCCCCCACAGCGTCTGCGGGCGCGCATCAATCTGTTTCCTTTGTCACATTAAAATGAAGAAAAGCACAAAAAAACTTGAAAATCAATAAAACCCCGATACCTACAATATCCCGTTCCCAGGCCCCGTGAACCTTGCAGGTTACAGGGTATGTTCGTGTTGCGTGTTGATGGGTAAAAGAAGTGCGCTGACTGGTGGAGCTCGGGTGCTGCCTGTCCGACTGCTCGATCAAGCCACTGCACAGCCTTGATTGATAGTCTGTGAGGTGTCTTCAATCTCCCCTGGGTGCTTTGGCCCATCCCGCTGTTCAATCCATTCTTCTGCTTTCTTCTTCTAGTCTGCGTTAACCCTTTATTTTCAAGCGATACATTTTCACTAGGTCTTGGTGGATTTTGTCTGATGTCGGCCTGACTGATCCCTTACCATCATCGAATATGGCGGCTGCAGTTGACCCAGTAAAGCGAACGCAAGTCCTTCGCGTCATCTTTGTCTCTCTGCTTTTGGACTTGGTACGCTCGCTCACTCTCCTCGTCCCCCAATCTTGAAATAACGAAAGATCCTAATTTTTAGCAGATCTCATTCACCTTTATCCTCCCCTTGTTCCCGAAGCTTCTGGAATTCTACCGCGACCGCGAAGCTCCGGCTACCCACAACGGCGAATCGGCCACCCTTCTACAATGGATACTCACCGGGCTCCATCGATACAAGGCTGCATTCTCCCGACCGATAGAATCCCGCTATGATATTGTTCTCCTGGGGGGAGCTATGGGTTCCTTATTCTCGTAAGGTTTGCCCTGCCATGCTGCTGGAATCACCTGACTGACGGCTGTGAAACCTCGCAGACTTCTCCAAGCCATTGCGTCTCCGATCATAGGCTCATTCTCCGACCGATACGGCCGCCGGCGCGCCCTCCTATTCTCCATGTGCGGAAACGTTCTCTCCGTCCTTCTGTGGGTGGCTGCCGTCGATTTCCGAACCTTCATTGCCAGCCGGGTGATCGGTGGCCTGTCGGAGGGCAACATACAGCTGGCCACCGCCATGGCGACGGATATCTCGGACGAGACCACTCGAGGTCGTACAATGGCCATCATTGGCGCTTGCTTCTCCATAGCGTTTACGTTCGGGCCTGCGCTGGGAGCTTGGCTCAGCAGTATCTCTACCTTTGCCGCCAATCCCTTTGCGACAGCTGCAGGATTCAGCTTGGCCCTGATTGTGCTCGAGACGGTCTATCTCTACTTCAAGCTTCCAGAGACGCTCCCTGCTCTGACAGGGTCGGACACCAAGGCTAGTCGGGACAAGAAGAAAGCCGAGCCTCCTCGCCCGCTGGAGCGAACAAACTCCCATTTCTTGCTTAACGCGATCCACTTCGTGTTTCTGCTCTTCTTCTCGGGGATGGAAAGCTCTCTCTCGTTCATGACGTACGAGCTCTTCGAATTCTCCTCAATGAAGAATGGAAGACTCCTCGGGTATGTTGGCCTGGTGTCGGCTGTCCTGCAGGGAGGCGTGACCCGTCGACTTCCAGCCCTGACCTCGGTCCGCGCAGGTGTGGTTTCGTGTCTTGCCGCCTTTGTGCTTCTCGGCAGAATCTCCACGGTTGGGGGCCTCTACCTCGCTGCCACCTGCTTGGCAGTCACGTCCGCCACGGTGGTGACGGGCCTCAACACTCTGAGCAGTTTCGAGGCCAGCGAGGACGAGCGGGGCGGGAAGCTGGGGATCTTGCGAAGCTGGGGCCAGTTGGGCCGCGGGCTGGGACCTATCCTGTTCACCAGCGTGTACTGGTGGGCTGGGCGGGAGTTTGCCTATACGCTTGGAGCTACTGGCATGGCTGTGGTGAGCGCGGTTGTTCTTGTCGGGTTGAAAACACCCAGAACCGCTGCATCGGCCAAGCCTGCTGGCAAGGGCCAGTGAAGAGTGCAGCAGTATCACACTTATAGAGCGATGTACATACTGGTCGCGTAGATCGCGGGTAGGAAATGGATTTGTATTTATTGGGAGCTGGCCCCAGCTACATATAGAATTGGGAGCATCTGGGACTTGGACGTAGGTAATCATAGGAACAATTGCATTGTATTATCAGTAGTCTTACCATCGTTGAGTTTAGATTGTGATCTGGAGATCGCCCGGAGAATTCATGCTTAAAAGGTGATGTGATAGGCAGGTTCGCTATCATCTCCTAAAAGCTTTGGTTCTCAGCCGTACCTACGAATGGAAGCGGAGAAGAATGCACGTGAAAGGGGATATTCATGCGACTCGACAAGAATCACAAGGTAATCGCAATATGCAGGTAGCCAGCTGTCAGGCAGACGAGGATCTCGGAGAAAAAAAAAGATGTTAAAAAAAAACGCCCGCACTCGGATTTGCACCGAGATCCTTGGCTTTCTCTAACGGTTTAGGAGTCCAACGAGTTGCTATTACTCTATACGGGCTTGACCACTGCGCCAAAAGGCCCTTTTCTTGTTTGGAAAGTGCAATGGGAAAAGGGTATAAGTGTTACTGTCGGGGCTGTTGGCAGCTGACGGCGGCTGGCGGCAGGAGGCAGGAGGTGGCGGTTTCGTCGGCTTTGTCGCACAGGTGTGTCGGATCGGAGGCCCTCAACGCATGCGTCTATGGTGAATAGCGAGAGAAAAGATCGGATGGCAAAGCGGTCGCTCGCTTTTGGTCGGCAAAGAATAATCGAATTGAAGAAAATGGAAGAAGAAAGGATGGGAAAAAGAAATAACAGGTTGATGAGCCTGGTCGGGACGAGTTTTGGAACTCCCCTGCCCGGCACGGCCGATGGAGCACCTACCTGTATTTAGCTCTACCTTAGCTACGCGACAAGCTCTATTAGCCGCTAGTACTAGGATAGCTACCACCGAGGGGACCGAAGAAGTGCTTTATAATTGCGTACGTATTCCTGGAGGGAATCAGTTTCAGCCAGCAAGATCCTGTCTGAAATCGACCCCGCTGCTCATGCCTGCTGGGTCTTCTCCTGGGTTAGAATGCTATGGTTATCATTGTATCTGTGCCGATATATCCAAGCAGGCAAACACCGTGATGAACTCGAATACGAGCCTAATAAGCCTCCTCAGCTCGCCAACCCGCAGCTACGGATCGGACGATTTGCTCGCAACCTTGCATCTCGAGATATCTAGTCATAAAAGCTAGTATAATGACCCTCTAGACTGGGCCTCGATGCTTTGCTAGTCGCGCTGTCTGCTGGCAACGACCCCTCCTCGCGCTGCATGGAGATGGCCATCTGGGCGCTCTGGACACTTCTTCTCAACAGCAGCCCCACTGCCACTTGGGACACGGAGTTTTCAGAAAGCTTATTGCTACCTACAAAGGTGCATCCAAGATGAGGGTGACACCCACCGTCGTCGAGGCGGTGGGTTCTGGGAGATGGGCACACATGCTTTTAGAAGCGCACCCACAATGTGCAGGTTAGCGCACATATTCGCCGGATGGCTCACGCCCCCTCGCAGCGTCTAGACCAGGCTGCAGGATTGGGAGAGGACGGGAGAGACTTGGCGGTTTGGCTGCCATGCAACTGGCGGCAGCGGGATCCGCTTGCGACTTTCCATCGCAAGCCGCAATGTCCACTGAAAACCAAGCCGTTCTGAGGAATTACCTCGAAGCGGTGGCGACCGGGGCTTGGCCGTGGTGGGGCATGACGTTCCTGCAAAAATGTGACATGACTGTTGGAGGGGTAATAATTATCTGCTGCGCCGTATCTGAGTAACGCTGCGCGCCAGCAGGGAGGGGGAGGGGGAGGGGTAGTTGGCTGGGTTTGTTTCGAATTCCGGAGGCATTGAGTTCCCTCATTGTGGCTGCGACTAGCTGAATCAAAATCGTGCGCTCAGAGACAGCTCTCCAGCTCCTTGGGGACTCGACGGCCAGCGGTTCGACTGATCTCGATGGACGTGACTCACGCCGTCTCAGACCAACATCAGATCGTTGGGCTGAGACGTGTAAGCGTGTTGGGCAGGAGGGGCTCGGGCTGCAGGCCTGCCGCCCTCTTGGACGGGGTTGAAGTTTTTTTTTTCTCTCGCAGCGACAGGGTATGGAAGCTCAAGTCCCCACCCGTATCTACTAACAGAGTCCAAGTACCGGCTGGCTAGTGGGAAAGTGGCGTGGAATACGTTTTGATAATGAAGTTTTTTTCCCCCTCTATTGACGGGGATCCAGTAAAATGGGTGTGGTTACATTATTCCCTTGCCTTTTGGCCATGCAACGGGACGAGTGCTGCGGCCAAAGATGACTGCTCTATCAGGCAACGTGCTGCGTTTTGAGTAAGATGAGTAGTGCATCGGTAGCCAGGATGTACTCCCTGGTGATATTGGGCGGCTAGTTTGCTTGGGGCTGCAACTGCAGGTCATTTTTGGCACCTGCGGAGGGGTGACGTTTTGTCGTAAAAAATAATACACCTAGATTGCCACGGAAACCAGGTGAGCGTCGAACATCAAGATGGCCCTCAAACCAGGCATTTATGAATTTCTACGTAGAAGAGCTAGGCACTCGTTGATAGCGGCCAGATGCTACCTGGAGCCAGCTGCCCTGGTAAAATAATATCCCTCGTAGCGCTGGGCAGGAGCGATTGCTTTGCGTCTCACTGCTCCTGCTGTGAGATGGCAGGAACTCTTTGGATACAAGACCCACAATCGGGCCAATCACATCGCATCTCAGTCACGCCGAGTGACTGAAAAAAAACTTGATGGTGTTAGGGCTTCCCTTTTGTTGTGCGGCGGTAACGCGAGGGCTGCCTGAGATCGTTGCCCCGCGCGAGCAAGCAGCACCTTCTGGCCCCACCCCTCTTCGCCTCCTCTCCCCCACCAGACCTTTTAAAACTGCTCCTCCCACCACCCTCTTTCGAAATTTTTTCTCTTCTGCTCTTTGTCCTCGCATACCCGGTTCAAGCATCCGATCTGCGAAATTGTATGTTTCCTTCCTTCAGCTTGATGCCTCTTCACCAAGAGCTTCATCATTCCTTCTTCACACAAGGCAGCGACTAATTCAGTTCGTGCTCGCAGATCTAGAAGTCAAGACTTCCACAAGAACCAAAGTATCAAACTTCACACAACACCGCCAAAATGGGCAAGGACGAAAAGACTCACATCAACGTCGTCGTTATCGTAAGTGCTTCCTGCCTTCCCACACGAATAAAGATGACAAGATGCTAACCGTCGCCTGTAGGGGTATGTTTTGAATCGATTGAATCTTACAATCGCCGAGCACCTAGCTAACCGATCGAAATAGCCACGTCGATTCCGGCAAGTCTACCACCACTGGTCACTTGATCTACCAGTGCGGTGGTATTGACAAGCGTACCATCGAGAAGTTCGAGAAGGTAAGAACAGTCACTCCTTTGATTCCCATATCGTGCGGCGCCTCGCATCTCACACCTGGCATTTTTTTGTGCCCCTCTTACCCCTCCTCAAAAGTTCATTTTTTTGTGGCCCATTTTAGTGGGGCCACAACCCCGCCAGAGTTATCGATACAAATCTCAGGGAAGACACACGCTGACAGTGACCAAATAGGAAGCCGCTGAACTCGGCAAGGGTTCCTTCAAGTACGCATGGGTCCTTGACAAGCTCAAGGCCGAGCGTGAGCGTGGTATCACCATCGATATCGCTCTCTGGAAGTTCGAGACTCCCAAGTACCAGGTCACCGTCATTGGTATGTGGTTGCACCTCTCTTGTTTGTTGCAAAGGCATGTTATCTAACCGGTACATAGATGCTCCCGGTCACCGTGATTTCATCAAGAACATGATCACTGGTACTTCCCAGGCCGACTGCGCTATTCTCATTATCGCTGCCGGTACTGGTGAGTTCGAGGCTGGTATCTCCAAGGATGGCCAGACCCGTGAGCACGCTCTTCTCGCCTACACCCTGGGTGTCAAGCAGCTCATTGTTGCCATCAACAAGATGGACACCACCCAGTGGTCTGAGGCTCGTTTCCAGGAAATCATCAAGGAGACTTCCTCTTTCATCAAGAAGGTCGGCTACAACCCCAAGACCGTTGCCTTCGTCCCCATCTCCGGTTTCCACGGTGACAACATGCTGTCCCCCTCCACCAACGCCCCCTGGTACAAGGGTTGGGAGAAGGAGACCAAGGCTGGCAAGTCTTCCGGCAAGACCCTTCTCGAGGCCATTGACTCCATTGAGCCCCCCAAGCGTCCTCTTGACAAGCCCCTCCGTCTTCCCCTCCAGGATGTCTACAAGATCGGTGGTATTGGCACAGTACCCGTCGGCCGTATCGAGACTGGTGTCCTCAAGCCCGGTATGGTCGTTACCTTCGCTCCTTCCAACGTCACCACTGAAGTCAAGTCCGTCGAGATGCACCACGAGCAGCTCGCCGAGGGTGTCCCCGGTGACAACGTTGGTTTCAACGTGAAGAACGTTTCCGTCAAGGATATCCGCCGTGGTAACGTCGCTTCCGACTCCAAGAACGACCCCGCCTCCGGTGCCGCTTCTTTCAACGCCCAGGTCATTGTCCTCAACCACCCTGGACAGGTCGGTGCTGGTTACGCTCCCGTCCTTGATTGCCACACTGCCCACATTGCTTGCAAGTTCTCCGAGCTTCTCGAGAAGATCGATCGCCGAACTGGTAAGGCTACTGAGGCCAACCCCAAGTTCATCAAGTCTGGTGACTCCGCCATCGTCAAGATGGTTCCCTCCAAGCCCATGTGCGTTGAGGCTTTCACCGACTACCCTCCTCTGGGCCGTTTCGCCGTCCGTGACATGCGTCAGACCGTCGCCGTCGGTGTCATCAAGTCCGTTGAGAAGGCCGCTGCTGGTTCCGGTAAGGTTACCAAGTCCGCTGCCAAGGCTGCCAAGAAATAAGCGAATGAGTTGGCATGACATCTCTGTCTGGATGGCTTCAATGACGTCTGGTGTTGGGATGGTTTTGTACTCGCTTCTACGACGATATGATTTTCCCCTGAAATGCATGACCACTCCGACTTTTTTTCCTTCGGAGCACATAATGAGAGACTGGGTATAGGAATTTCTGCGTCATAGGTTCTCTTGAAATGTGCTGGTAAAAAGAATAGAAGTGACTTCTGCTGTCAATGAAAAAAACAAAAAGTTTCTAAAATCAATTTGCCCTTGCTTGCCTTCGATGTGAATTCGCCTCCCCCTCTGCCTATTCCTTTCAATCACCGTAGCTGTTCACCTGACCTTGGAGTATCTCATCAAAATGCGTCGTTGATTCGTTCACAATCCCTGTGATAACTAGGTACATAATATAGTATGTGTGTCTATGGTGTTATACATGTGATTTTAACATTATAATTAATACAGTGTGGAGAGCCCTTCTTGGTCACCGTGACCCCGTCTTATTGAAGAAACTTAATTTCTTTTACCTTCCTTCATGAGAGTATCTCGTCCATCCACACCTTCATGATTCTTCTGTTTTTCTACAGCCTCTTCAACCATTGTGGCGAGTTGCTCTGCTGTCCGCAATCCATTCTCGGCCTCATCAAGCGTGGAGCTAGATATATCATCATCATCAGAAGTAGTGTTGTCACTATCTGCCGGAGCTGCCTCTTGGCCTAGAGTTTCCTCGCCCCCGTGATTTTCTTGTTCTTCAAGAGAGTCTTCGATGGTTGTCGTAAGCTGTTCTGTTGTTCGTAGTACATCCTCGGCCTTGGCAATCGCGGATATAGATTCGGGAAGACCATCAGAAGTGATGTTGCCACCATCTAACGGAGGTGCTTCTTGGGCTAGAGCTTCTTCGATCATGCTAACAAGCCTTTCGCCTGCCTGAATTGCATTCTCAGCTTGGTTCGTATACCGTGCCGACTGCAATCCCTTCTCGCCGCTCAAAGTTTGTCGAACGACAAGAGACAGCTCCTCCCCGCCCTCGAGTGTTTTATCACACTGCTCGTAGATGGAGTCGGGTTCTACAGAGCGGGCACGACTCTCATCTATAGCGTGAGACCAAGTGTCATCCGCATGGAAATCGGGGGTGTTGATCTTCAAGCCCTCTACATCGTTAAGATCCTGATTCTGCTCGCTGTCTAGTTCGTGCTCTTCGGGAAGTTTGCGAATCGCTTTGTAGCCCTCGGTCCAAGAGAAGAACTTGCCGGTCACAATCCCAGTCACGACATGAAGGAACTGCGCCCGATGGACTGCATTGGTGGGGCCGCTGGGGTCTTGGACGGCCTGGAGAGAAAGTTCTTGGCGGGTGCCTCCATGTTGACCCGCCTCGATGCTGTTGTACCTGAGGATGTGGTCGTGCCACTTGAGGTCCATAGTCTGATGGATTTCGAGCCCTGCGAAAGTATACGCTACCTCAGAGGCAGTCTGCGCATCTTCTGATGGCTCGGGAAGTAGGTGTGTGGGTAAGGAGATTTGGGTATGACTTGGGGTACGAAGCCGACCTTCTACGAGGTTGAACTCCGAGGCTCTGAAGAATTCCCGAATATGGGATTGATTTGCCAAGTCTAATGGCAACTCGCTCTGTTGAGTTACACGCACGTCGACACTCTCTCTTGGGCATAGAAAGTCTTGCTGGTGGATCGGAGAGATAGCATAGAGTTTGGACTCATCCGACATTGTGAAGTCAGAAAAGTCGTCATCGGCATTGACTGGGAGAGAAAGCCTAACTTCTGGCGCTTTGCTGTCATGCTGTGTTGGTATGAAATTGAGGACGATGGAGCTGCTTTTCGAGAGTGGAGGGTTCGCCTTTCCCTTTCCGATTAACCTTGTGAAGGCAGCTGGGTGTGGTAGCACTGGGAGAAGCACGCGATATCCGGTGGTTTCCTTCTTCCTGGAAGGCGAAGGCGCTGCTGCGTCCTCATGTAAGATATGGCCAAATGTTGCAGCAAATCGAACCTGAGCTCCATCCGTCTTCAACCTTGATGTTTTACGAAGAAGACGTTTGCTACTGGACAACTTAAGTAGTGTGGGCTTTTCCGAAGATGGTTTGCGTATAGGCATGACATAACGAGACCAGGTTCTTAACTTATTTCTCCAAGACAAGCTTCGCACCTCGCGCCCATGGGGCATGAACATGGCCGTTTCTGAAGGAGGAAGCACGCAGTAATCTGACGTCGACTGGAAACGATCTCGAATATAACGATCTTGCAGTAAGAGTCTGAGTACTATGTCTGGAGGACTTTCGACTTGTAGACTTGTTCCGCTGGGGGATGGTTTCGTGTTTGCAGCTGGACTATGTTGATCCAACCACTTAACGTTTAATATCTGAGATGAGATTACTAATTAGCATCTTTTGAAGAGCAAGGAAGGGATGATGAAAATAGAATTACCGAGGCCTTTTTATGATATTGAATGGAGGTTTTGGTGATATTGGAGAGTCTGGCTAAGACATCTTTTTGTAAATCAAGAGAGTCGACCCCCTGGACAGAAAGCTCTTGTGTCCGCATCGACGCCACGGCCTCGTCAATTCGCGACAAGATGGTGCGAACAGAAGCTTTGCGAGCGTAAATACTAAGCTCGTGCTTATTCTCATTTGCTACGATATCTTCATTGCTCGACTCATCCAAAATATCGTATTGAAGAGACCTCAGAGCACCAGTGGATGGATCTGCCAATGGTTAGTCAATAACTGGTAGATAGAGTAAGACAATACTAACTAGAAATGAGCTCAAAAACATCTGGCCGAAGAGTCACGGACACAGCGCCCAGATCCTCGTTTTGTTCCTGTATGTCGAGCGCCCAAGATTCTTTCAGAATCAAGTAGGCAACTTTCTGCTTCGGGGTCAATGGGCCCAGTAATTTAGGGTTTGAAGGAACCCATGAGGTCTGTTTGACGAGCCAGGAGTATTCTGGCGTTTTATTTCTCGCTTTGCTGCTGGTTTCCAAAGTTTGACGAAAATATGCAGCTAGTTGTTCATTTGTGAATCCACTAACAAGAGCCCGTAGTAATTTCTTGAAGTCCTTTGCTTTCATGGCACTCGAGTCTTTTGGTCGGAATTCCTCGATGTTCCTTCTCACTTGAACGGAAATGTCGTCCAAGGAATCCGTATCATCTAGAAGACTTGTCCAATCTAGTTCAGACCCGAGAACTCTTTTGTCCCGAGGGAGCGATACGATAGGATTGGTTTTCCGCTTGAGTTTGTCCGGATTCGAGAGCACGAGAGCGCTTATGTCTTCCCCAAGAGCGCTTATGCTGATATTACGTTGCTCTAGATGCTGATGTTTGAATTCCCGCTTGGCATACCTCTTGGGCTCCTCTGAATCAGCGGAACCTTCATCCGTCTCGGCGATTGCGCTGCTATCCCCTGCTTGCGCAGTGGGTACGGCTTCTGCTTTGAAAGTTTCAGAATCAGTGATGCTGATGCTCTCAGTTGTGAACCCTAGACTGTTGCTAGATACATCCTCTGGGCTAGCACCCAAAGATCCTGTTGCATTATCAGAGGCTATTTCGTTGTTGGAGGGTCGATCGTCTTCAAGGGATGTTGTAGCTGAGGGAGTAGTTTTGCCTTCGTCATATTCTTTGGCATCTGTTTTGATCTCCTCAATCTTGAAAGCCCAATTTTCTTCATGGCTTGTTGTACCCTTGCGTCTCGATGTTCGATGCCCTTCAACGTCCGATGAACCCTTGGCAACAGCTTCCTTCCACATATTTGAGTTCTTTGAGCGACTGATGGTTGGGCTTAGATCATATAATTGGCTGTGGATATTCGATCTCGAGGCAGATGTCTCGCCATCTCGGACCCTGGAAGCCTTTTGTTTCTGAGCAGCACGCCTTTTTTTCTGGACAGCGGGCCTTTTCTTCTCGGTAGTATATTTCTTTTGCTCTGAAGTGAGTCCCCAGTCCGGCAATTCGTCGTCTCGTATTCCCCGAGCCTTGGGCGTATTTCGTCTCTTCCTACCCCCAGCAGGCTTATCCTCCTCCCAAGGCTTTCCTGAAATGAGGGCCTCTATCCTGGCTTTGCTCTGAACAACTGAGGCGTCATTTCCGCGTCGCTGGAGTACGGTGTCGGGGTGGAAGAAGCGGGCGGCGCTCAATGTTGGGTTCCGGCGAAGTAGGAAGCCCTGCCGGCATGATTGGCAAATGCGCGGCACGCATGCCACCTGTGAAATCATGAATGAGAAATAGGGCGAACAGCTATCGCAATGGAGCGACTGCCATTCTATTTCCCCGGGTCGCAGACTCTGGACGCAGAGCTTCAATGGTGCCGCTGTTGGCCGCAATAATTTTTGCGGCGATAAGATAAGATAACTGATAAGACAGAACACGCCAAAATTAATTGATTGGGACGCGTTCCGAAGCATTGCATCACTTGCCGGAGCACTACCCCTCAGCTATTTAGACTTCTGGCACAAGTACCGTTTCAATTCGAATAAATACTGCCGAATTTGATATATTTGGCTTTCCTAACGCTGGCTGACGTCGATTTAAATCTTTCGGTGTACCTTATCTCCCAACATGTCCTCAACGCAGAGGCGTCGACGAACGGTGAGAGCTCTCTGCCTACCGCGCCATGTAATCGCCAGTTGTTAATTTTTCCAGCGCGACCATCGCGATGACCCAGACGAGCAAGACCGACCCCGGCAACGTATGAATCGAAACGATCCTGATTCAGATGACGATGCTTCATCTCAGGATGACATGGACATGGACGCTCCCTCGGCAGCGCAAGACGCCGAGGAACAGCTCGTTAAGAAGCTCGTAAGATACGCGTTATCATGCGAGTTTTCAAGAACACCGATTAAGAGAGACGGAATCAAGGAGAGAGGTTGGAGATTCCGAACATAGAACCTGAAGTGGCAAGGAGCTGGTAATTAACATGGTGCACAGTGCTTGGCAATGAGGGCCGCTCGTTTAGGCGCATCTACGCGCTTGCGCAGAAACAATTACAAGAAGTCTGGGGTATGGAGCTCAGAGAGTTACCCCTCCGAGAGAAGCTATCACTTCACGAGAAACGAAAAGGTTTGTTTGTGATTCTCGGCGCGCTGTTGTATCACCCTTCGTGCTGACCCTGGCCTCTCTAGCAATGAGCTCAGCCTCGCAGGCGAAAGCTGGCTCAGGGACCTACGTCCTTTCCTCAATCTTACCGAGCGAATACCGAAGCGCAAGCATACTCGCACCCTCTAAATCCCCAAGCTCCGACGACGAAGCGACGTTTGCCGCATTCTCTGCGTTGGTGGTCTCGTGTATTTGGCTTAGCGGAGGCGAGCTGAGTGACCAGAAGCTCAATCGGTATCTCACGCGGCTCAACGCAGATCAGAACGTATCGGCAGAGAAGACAGAGGCCGTACTGAAGAGAATGGAAAAACAAAATTATGTGGTCAAGAGGGTCGACCGTCCGCCTGTCGGTCAAGACGGTGAACATTCAATTACCTGGCATATTGGACCGCGGGCTAAGGACGAGATCGGGCTTGACGGCGTCATGGGGATGACGAGGGAGGTGTATGGGGACACAGAGCCGGAGTTGGAGAAGAAGCTCCGGGCCAGCCTGGGGATTAAGCAAAGCGGTGCGGAGGCCGCTGCCGAGGAGGAGGAAGTTGGCGAGCCATCGAGGAGCCGGAGGGGATCTGGCACCGCTACGAATTGAAGCGAGTACGAATCATGAAATAAAATATAATATTGACAACAGGGCATTAAAACGCCCTGCACGAAGCCACCAGTTTGTTTGATTCTCCCTGTTTTTGTGTGACGGAAACTGTTGACTGTATGAAATAACGCTTTAGAGAATAAATCCTAAGTGTGGCTACACGGGTATTTCGTAAGAATAAACGCCAATCCCAATATTGAGCTTGTCTCAGTCTTCGATTCGGGTGCTGTGGTGAGCCAACCGACCGACTCTAGAGTCTTTCTATTTGTACTATTATGAAATCGAACGCTGGCCGATGATTATTCTTCTTTTTGGGGTGGAGGTCCGCAAGGCTGGATCATTTTCTAATCGCGGCGTACCAATTAGCATGATGGAAGCGCCAACAGTCGAGATCAGCTGAGAATGGAGGCCAGAGAAAGGATGCTGGGTAGAATGGGGCGAGCGCAGCACGTACCCGTATCATTTGAGCTCGAACCTTGGCTACAGGCTCGTTCTCAGCGAGCGCGATGTATGACAACAGAGGCCTGTGTCCGGCGATGGAAGAATATGTGTCGCGTTGGATGTTGGTCCGCCACTCCCAGCTCGTTGTATCGGGATGGCCAGTGCCGACGTACTTGGCCTGAAGGCGCTCGAGTTCTTGTTGGTTGCGAAGCTTGTCGGCCTATGTGCGCGAGAAACCATGAGCGAGATCAGATCGCGGCTGGGGTCATTAGAGGAGACGGGGTTGCTTACCATTGTTGCGGGTAACAGATGATAGTGGTTTTGACTGAAGGTGGAGGTTGAAGTTGACCGACCGCTTGACTCTTGAGGTTGGCGATATTTGCGACAAGCGGAATATCTTCGGGTGGGGCGATTTGGTAGATCAGCGCGGGTTGACATGAACCTGGAACCTGCAACCAAGCATACACGCATCCTACCTTTTAATCTCAGCGGAAGTTCGACAAGAGCATAGTGAATTTGATTTATCCCAATTAATATTTCAGAGCACCGAGGCAGGGTCCTGGGTCTGTATCCTTGAATCCAGGCTTTCACCCCTCGTGGTGTGGACTGTTCTACTCTTCCTCATCCGGAGTACCTCTCTGAGTGAGAACGCGCGCTCCCTGACGGCTGGCTCCCGCATGTGGGGGACAACTAATCTCATCATTTTCCCTTCGCGATAAGCCGGGTTCTCTTCAGGATGGCATGGGTGTCGAATTGCGCACTCCCAGAGCATTGGTCTGAGCTCAACGCAGCGCGGAAACAGAGACAGCAATGCGCCAAAGACATCGAGAGGATCAAAATTGCGTGCGCATCCGGATGCGGCAAGACCCATGTGTCGGAGTGTTCTGCCTGTTACAAGAAGGTCCTGGATAGGATGCTGGCGCGATACAGCAATGAGGCGGGCGGGGAGTGGTTCTCTCAGCGCAGCGCGTTCGTGCTGGAGCTGGAGGACCAGTTCGCGCAGGCAAAGGAGAAGAAGCTGCCGCTCAAGGAGATCGAGTCCAACATTGAATCCGAGAAGGAGGCTTGGTATCGCTGGGTGTTGCGGCGCCACCCGGAGTTCCTGGCCGTTACTGACTGTGGCGTTGAGCTGGATGAGCTCCGGGCTGTCCTCGACGATCCCGACCGTTCCAAGGATGAGCTTGTGAAGATGGTGTGGCAGGCTGTGGGTAAGCCCGATGACTGGTCTCCTAAAGTCGACGAGTTTGCCAACAAAGTTGCGTCTGTTAGCGAGGACCAAGCAGCATTGAGGAAGCTCTATGTCAACGAGTTCTTGAAGGACCGTGTCACTGGAGCGCCTGTCAAGGGTGCCGAGAAATATATTGAGGCGTACCTGGAGAAGCCAGATATGCGATTAGAGGAGATCATCGACAGTATCATCTCTGCAAACAAAACTAGCCAGCGCTATCAGGAACAAAGGGAAATTCACCAGGGCAGGCTGGAGGAGCTACGGCGAGCAAAGACCGCTTTCGAACAAGACAATCCGGCAGCGGTTTCCAAAGGCCAGCAACGAAAATCGGCACCTTCCAATGCAAACGAGAAGCCAGTTGACCTCCCGCCATGTTCAGTCTGCCAGAAGGAAGTGGATCCCAAAGATGTTCTTTCATGTTCTGTTTGCCAGGCTGTCAATCTTATGGGAGGGGAGAAAACGCTCACTACTTATTGTACAGAAACATGCTTTCACGAAGGATATGTAAGTTTGCATGAATTTAACAAATCCTACATCGATGATAAGGATACTTGGGTACTGACCTGGAGGCAGGAGCATCATATCGAGAGTGAACATGACTGTACGTCTGGTGACCAGTGTGTGCAGGAGGGTGATGAGGACGAAGAGATGAGAGACGACATTAATGGCACAGTCATCTGCCTACGCTGTTTAGATGAGAAGAAGATGTCGCTCTTCTGCTCGTCAAGATGCGCCTACCAGAATCTACCATCACATCTTGACACCCAACATGGGTTTAAAGGCGTAGCGCCACAGGAGATCCAGAATCTAGTGAAGCATGTTGAGCAGGTAGTGGAAGAAACGCTTCGGAAGCAGAACCCTGGTCTTGAATTTTCCTGGACCAGCTGAGCTGGTGTGAAACGACTGTCATCAGGCCGAACAGCCTTGTCACATGTTATGTTAAATTGTATAGAATATACCCAGGACCGGAATCTATATGTAGCATACTCTCTCTTTTCTTTAAGGAGATACCTAGCTACTATCGCTATATTTATAAAGTCTGAATAGCTTAGTGGTATGAGATTAAAAAGATACACATGTCTATTGGACAAAGTAACCTAATTCATTTCTATATGCCATTGAAACACTAGTACGCTGCAGAATGAAGGGGGGAGTTGGGTGTGAGTGTAAAAAGGTTCTATATTACCGTATTATACGGTACACAAATGATGCCTACCAAAGCCAGTTCCACCAGTGGTCTAGCGGTATGTTTTTAAGGCGAATCTTACCACTAGACCACCAGACCTCCATCATTAGTCATCATTTCATGCATCTTGAAGGATTTCCATTGTGTTAAGATATGAAGAACCATCCAAATCTGAAACTAATATCAATTGGGCAAGACAAGATTTATATCGCGACGTAGGCTATGACCTGTACAAAGTTAATGAAATTCAAGATAGTCTTCGCATTCTAATCAAGTCTTTTGCAAGAGTCCTATTGGTTTGGGGTTGCTGAGGCTGGGCAGCATATGTCCAACCATGGAGAACAACGGCTTGTTCCTCTTCACCCAGCACCTGTAGGACCTGACCATGTGCTCTGAATAATCAGATTGATCAACATATATATAATCAATCCGGTGTTAGGAATCTCAGTCCTAACTGCCGCCATAATACACCGAATATCATCAGCGGAAGGAGCCCCACAGCGCAGAAGCCGGGAGCCACCGGCGTTTTGGGCAGGATTCGGCCTGTTGTTGCTCCGCTACTTCCTCCATTTTAAACCTGATTTGTGTTGCTCTGCGCCGGCGCGGCGCCGATTGTCCCCATTCCTCTGGATTTGAGATGAAAGCATCGCCTGACGTTTACCAATTCTTTACGAGTGCCAGGGAAGACATCGTCCGCCTCCCTTCTCCTACAAAACCATCCCCTGCAAGCCCGTCCATCCAAGACTACCCACACAAAATCGTATCATTTTCTTCTCTCGCCCTGGACCCCGCCTGCTAAACGGGGCAGCCGGTATCATGGACATTGAGACGGAATCCACCGAGGCCAGAGCTGCCGATTCTACTGGCCGAAGAAGGGTTCAGACGGCGTGTGAGGCCTGCAGAGCATGCAAGATCAAGTGCCAACCCAGCGAGCAGCCTGGAGTATGCCGAAAGTAAGCAGCTGCTGAGCATGGTTATTCGATGTTCTTGAACCACCCGGCATTGAAGGAGACACCTACTAACAACCTATGATTCTGCCAGATGCCTTGACACCAAGAAGGAATGCATCTCTAGAACAGGGCCAAGGACCCGGAGGTCCAGGAAGACCGGGCTCAGGGCGTAAGTGAAGTGCCTCTCGCTTTCTGTTTCAATGCATTCACCCATTCCTTGAGTGACTTGGTCAATCATGTTGCTGATGCCATCTGAAGTAGCCCTGAGGGCCAGCTTAAGCCCTCCTCCTCAACTCCAAATACTGCTTCCACCACATTTAGCATCAATTTTGACGTGCCTGCACCACCTGAGCCGGACGACAGCTTTGAGGTTTTGCGAGAAACGCACGAGAGCCTCATGGACTCTCTCCTACCACCTATGGAAGGAGACGATGATATTGGCTTTGGCCAAGACCACGACTCCTTCATATCAGGACTACCTACCCCGGGAGCTTCATCAACAACAAACTCTCATTCCATTGAAGATCTTAATGGGAAGCCACAGTTCAACCTGTCGTCCGCAGAGTCGCTACTGGAGGCATTCCACGCCATGATACCACAGTTCCCATGTATACTTCTTCCTCAAAACGCCACAGTCCCTACTCTGGCAGCTACCAAGCCGTTTCTTCTGTTGGCAATCTTGGCCTCTACTTCAGGGTCCAAGACGCTCCAGGGTCACACCCTATATGATGCCGAGTTTCGAAAAGTTCTCGGGCTCAAGTTCGTTGCTGGCGGGGAGAGAAACATCCAACTCCTCCAGGGACTTCTCATATATTGCGCATGGTAAGCACATCTCGGAAAGATCATGCAATGGAGGGATTAGGAACGAAGAAGTGTTTCTTTTGGCGTGAACCCTTGATTTGCCTGTCTAACTCGAACTGCGCTCTAGGTACCCATTTCATCTACGACCTAGGAACAAGCAAGTGTTTCACTACATTCGCATGATTGGCGACTTGATCCATGATCTTGATCTTGACCAAGATATCTCTGAGTTCATGTATGGGGACATCACTGACGACCAGCTTGATGGAATTCGAGCCTATCTTGGTTACTCCTATCTTGTCTCAGCGTATGCATATCATCCACCTCTCTACATCGTCTTGCTCGACTGCTCACTTGTTTCTAGATTTCTCATCTCTTGGAGAGTTATGAAGAACATGGCATCTAATATCACACCTTGGACTCTGAAATGCTGCGATATTCTTGAGAAATATGCCAAGTCAGACAACGACAGAGTTCTTGCTACACTTACAAGAATATGTAGCATCAACAGCCACGCCGCAGATGCGGTTTATGAGAGCACCGAAAAGTCTAGCGAGCAGAGGCGACTACTTCTGTTAGGTTTGGAGACGCAACTGCGCGAGCTCCAACAGGTGCTACCAAGCCAGATATCCTCAGCTCGTACGCCCACCCCTTGGACTTTCTAACCTATCCCTGACAGACATTCTAACTTTTTAACATTGATAGAATCTGTCCAACTATCAACACTTTTCATAGACTTTTTCCTTACTTCAAGCAGCATCATCCCGGCCTACCCACGATCAAAGGAACTCCGGAACGGCTCGTCTCTCCAAGTTTCGCCTTCAAAATTATGTGTCGCAGTAGCCCACCTGAGGCGATACTTCGATTGTCTACTTTCTCTCACTCGCAAAAACTTCACCGCATTCATTGTCGTCGACTGGTGCCGTGTCGTCTTGAGTGTGGTAGTTGCACTCCGGCTCTGCTTCTTCGTCCCCGAGTGCCCAGGGTTTGACTACGTCTGGGCCCGTTCCGAACTACAGCTCAGCCAGTTCCTGACCAAATTCTGCGAGGATGAATCCCCGTTCACTCCGGCCTCAAACAAGGTCGATGTGTGCTCCGCCAGCCGTGTGGTCATGGGCGTCGTCAAAGA